CTTTGTTGGCCATCAAGGATACTGCTGCCACGGACTTTCCTGAAGGTGTTTTTCAGCGATCGGTATGCGGCTACCAGCTAGCTTGCAGGCGCATTCCAAGAAACAAGAAGATACGCTGCCCGATTGATTTGAGCACGGGAAAGGCGACGTTGCAGGAGGACGTGAAATTCTTCCACCCGATAGGTTCCAAGTTATTTCTGGTTCAAAAAGGGTGGCTGCGTCTGGTTCAGAAGGTTTCTCTGGAGCACGATCGCGAGGGATATTGGGATTGGATCATGTCGCTGATGAGGACGGTAGGAGCCTTGCGGTTGCATCAGCCGTTCGTTGCTGGAAGCGCTGAGCATTTCAGTTTAGTGGATGGCGGCCGTGTGCAAGCTGCCGAACTCCCCAATGCATCCGACCAGGATGCTTGAAGCCTTCGTGCAGTTTAGTTTCTGCGTGCTTGGACGTTTATGTGCTTTTGTAGTCAAGCTGGTAAGTTAGACAGTGACCTACGAGCCTTCCTTGCAGTAGCAGTAGGCAAGTTTTGTAGGTCTGACATCTCATCTCACGGTATGTGCCCGGTGGGAGCCTTTTCGGGCGAGCTGCTTGCAGCCCGGGCGTAACATGTTGTCGGTTCGCAGACGAAGCACGTAAACGTCCAAAGCATTGAGGAAGAGGCAGAGAGAAAGTGGCCAAAAAGGCCAGAAAGGCTACGGTCGCGGGACCGGCCGCTAAGCTGGATGATAAGCAGCAGCAGCAGCAGCAGCAAGAACAACAACAACAGCACCGCAGCAGCACAGCGTCACAGCACCATTGCATTGCAGCACCAAGCGGCCCGAGCCATGGCTTCAACCCGCTCCGCCGTGGAAAAGTCCTCCTTGCTTGTCGCCGGGCGTCACCGGCTGCGCAAGATTTGTCCTGGCACCGTCTTTCTCCCTGCGTTGTCTTAATTTCTTGGGTGTGTCATTGCGCTCATGCATTCCATGTTTTCCACACGCGCAGGACAGCCCGGCGCCACCAGCAGCGGTCGCGGAGGAGGCTGTGGCGGAGCATGTGCGCTTGGGGGTCAACCCGCCACCTAAACCGGTGATTAAGCGGATCGCACACCGCCTCAGCCTCCCCGCGACGACTCGGCGACCGATCGATCTCACGCGGCAGGAGGCGCGTTTTTATTTGGCATGTCTTATGTTGAGCATGGCGAAGTTTCGCCTTTCGTGTAGACTTCTCTCTCGCGCCTTTTCTCGCAGGTTTTATTCTGCGTACGCTGCAGGTTGTCTGTGGATCCGTGTTTGTTTCACGCGTAGGACTACGGGCACGTGGAGAGCATCAAACCCTTAACGGAGTCTGTTTGTAGCAAACTTGGGCTGAAGGGCACGGCGAAGCTAGATGTTCTTGACCGTCACCTGTACATGCGCACGGTCACTCCACATGCAAGCGGCCTTGCACGCCTTGGTGCTGAAAGACGTCGCGGAGGACCGTGGCTATCTTGTGGCACAGCCTCCCAGTTTTTTTTCTCGCTTGCTCGTCGCAAGCAATGTTTCACAGCAGGCGGAGGCAAAGGCGAAGGAGGCGGCGACGATGCCCGCGGAGGTGGCGGAGGAGCAGCCGGAGAAGGCAGGCATGCACAAGCCTCCCGCAAAGGGCCGCCGCCGCCGCCACGCAGCTTGCCTGCAAGAATCTGTCGTGTTTCTCGTGGTTAAACACGTGTCTTCGCACACGGAGCTGGTCTCATTTTTGTCTTACTGAAGCTCCGATGCAAACACCCTACACCCTACACCCTACACCCTAAACCCTAAGCCCTAAACCCTAAACCCCAAACCCCAAACCCCAAACCCTAAACTCTAAACCCTAATCCCTAAACCCTAAACACTAATTATTTGGGGCAGGAGCCCCACGAGAACGCGAGGCTGGAGCATGAAAGTTCGGCTCTGCGTTTTTAAGGGCGGTTGTGGGTTCAGGGTTTAGGGTTTAGGGTTCAGGGTTGGGGGTTAGGGTTGTGGGCTCAGGGTTTGGGCTTGTTTGGGGCTTAGGGTGTTTAGGGCGTTTGAGACGGGCAGGGCGGTTATGGCTTTGACTCATCGGTAGGGCTGCAGGGGTTTGCGGTTCTTGGGGTTCTAGGCTCAGGGTTATGGGATTTGTTCCTGTCAGGCTGCTTAGGCGGGCACTTCATCAAAACGGTTCTGGGGTTCTAGGCTCAGGGTTATGGGATTTGTTCCTGTCAGGCTGCTTAGGCGGGCACTTCATCAAAAGAACCGTTTCCAGCTGAAAGAGCTTAGGACAACAAGGGATAGCCCCAAACAAGTGAGATCGGATAAGCCCTAAACCCTAAACCCTACACCCTAAACCCCCAGCCCTAAACCCTAAACCCTGAACCCCACACCCTACACCCTACACCCTAAACCCTAAACCCCCAAACCCTAAACCCCAAATCCTAAGCCCCATCCAGCTTCCCAAATATTGGCGGGGCATCGGGCATCCTTGGGTGCATGATCGCTGCTTCAGGGCCTTGTTTTTTTGGGGGCGGCTCCGGGTACGGAGATGCCAGGAGGGCTGAAACGGGTGAAAAGAGGGCCAAAGCCCTAAACCCGAAACCAGAAACCCTAAACCCTAGACCCTAGACCCTAGACCCTAAACCCTAAACCCTAAACCCTAAACCCTAAACCCTAAACCCTAAACCCTAAACCCTAAACCGCCAATAAACCTCGACTCCAAGATCAAGCCCAGATGCGGACACGCTAACGCCCGAAACCGCGTCCCTCCCAAGGGGACTCTTTGCCTATTGGTTCTTAGAGGGTTGCTGATTCCCTTCATTTACGAAGAACAATCCCGAAGCCCTGAACCCTAAACCCAAAAGCTGAAACCTCCAACCCTAGACCCTGAGCCCTAACCCTAAACCCTAAACCCTAAACCTTAAACCCTAAACCCTAAACCCTAAACCCTAAACCCTAACCCTAAACCCTAAACCCTAAACCCTAAACCCTAAACCCTAAACCCTAAACCCTAAACCCTAAACCCTAAACCCTAAACCCTAAACCCTTCTTAGGATGCGCCCTTGAAGGCAGACGGCCGAGCGCATCCTTAGGGAGATGATGAACGTGGACCTTGGCATGGCTCCTTGGCTTAGGCGTAGTTTCATGGGCCGGGTTTAGGGTTTAGGGTTTAGGGTTTAGGGTTTAGGGTTTAGGCTCCCTGATTATGGTCTCTTACCTCCTTTAAAGGGTTCTTTAGGGTTTCGGGTTTAGGGTTCGGGGTTTAGGGTTTAGGGTGGGCCACTGATGCCCTGCAAACCCTGTAGCCTTCAGAACCTGACCCGAAACCCTAAACCCTAAACCCTAAACCCTAAACCCTAAACCCTAAACCCTAAACCCTAAACCCGAAACCCTAAACCCTAAACCCTAAACCCTAAACCCTGAAACCTAAACCCCAAACCCTAAACCTTAAGCTCTAAAGCCGAAACCCAAACCCTCAGCCCCCAAAGCCCGCGAGCCGAAAGCCAAGTCTGCTCAATGTCCATGGGTAGTTAGCAGCACACCCTAAGACCTGTAGCCTAGAACCCGAAACCCTAAACCCCTACATACACTCTGCGCCCTGAACCCTCAGCCCTAAACCCTCGCCCCAAACCCTAAACCCCAAACCCCAAACCCCAAACCCCAAGCCCCAAACCCTAAACCCTAAACCCTAAACCCTAAACCCTAAAACGCTTAACTCTAAACACAGGTGAGCTTCGACTTCAGTTCCGTGGAGCGCCAGGAGGCGCAGCAAACGGATGTTGGGTTTGGGGTTTAGGGTTTAGGGTTTAGGGTTTAGGGTTTAGGGTTTAAGGTTTAGGGTTTAGGGTTTAGGGTTTAGGGTTAGGGTTCAGGGTTCAGTGTCAGAGTTCAGGGTTTAGGGTTTTAAGGGTGACGGATGGTAGACAAGACCCTAAACGCTATAGCTCTTCGACCCGCAGTTTAACGTGTGATTTCATGTTTCGGCAGGGTTAGGGTTAAGGGTTCAGGGTTGAGGGTTGAGGGTTTAGGGTTTAGGGTTTAGGGTTTAGGGTTCAGGGTTCAGGGTTGAGGGTTTGGGGTTTAGGGTAGAAGCTGAACCCCAGATGGCAAGCCCTAAACCCTTAAACCGTAAACCCTACTTGAACGGGTATGGGTCGGTCTGCGTAGGGTATGAATTCTTCTAATCAGGGTAGCCTAAGTACACAGGTCCCTCCCTACTCCCTATAAACCCTACAAACCCTATAAACCCTATAAACCCTGTAAACCGTATAAACCGTATAAACCCTATATACCCGACAAACCCTACTAAGAACCAGTGCGGAACAGTAGTTGCACACGTGGCTCGGTCGGGTCCACTTGGAGAGTTGGTTTCCAGTCGGCTGCCTGCCCTCACAAATGTTATAGATGGACTTGGAGGTTCATGGGTACTTAGAACCCCACTTATAAGTCTACTTATCACCTACTTAGGGGACTTAGACGGCTTATAGGGGGCTTAGGGTGTAGGTTTATGGGGTCCAGGCTGGTTGCTCTAGCTTCAGGGTTTAGGGTTTAGGGTTTAGGGTTTAGGGTTTAGGGTTTAGGGATGGAAGGGAGCTCTTTTTCAAGAGCTCAAGGGGGTCATCCGCAAGAAGTCTACTTGGGGATGGGGGGGGCTCTCATGAGCTGCAAGCCCGATTCCCCCTCAAAGGGTTGGTAGGGTTCATAGGGTTTATAGGGATTATGGGGCTTATAGGATGTGTAGGGTTTATAGCATTTATGTATGGGGCTTATAGGATTTGTAGGGTTTATAGCATTTATGGCGTTTATCGGATTTGCAGGGCTCAGGGGCCTAAACCCACCACACCCCCCAGCCCGCGAGCGCAAACGCGGAGGAAGAGATCGACTCCCCATCGTTCCCGGCGCCTTCCTCAGCCACTGGGGGTTCGGCTCAGCTTTCGTGTGCGATCCGTGACGGTAGAAGCCCGAAGACCTGCACCCTAAATCCCTAAACCCCAAGTCCCCTACGCTCCGCGGCCCCCAAGCCCCTGAGCCCCAAACCCCTAAACCCCTCGCCTCTGTTTGCCCAGCAGGCCTCATCAAGGCCTTCAACCCCCAAGCATGTTGTTGAGGCCAGACGCGGCCAGACCGTCCCGAAGCCCTAAACCATTAACCCCTGCATCCCCAAACCCCCAAACCCCTAAAATCCTGAACGGTGGGAGCACGCACCTCGGCCCGGACTGCACCCAACACCTCCGGGAGGGCCCTTAATCCCCCCAAAAGGAAAGTAAGCACCGAACCCAAGCGCGCCCTAAGCTGAGCGCCAAACCCGCCCAGGGCGTGACGACCGTGTACCGAAAGGAGCTCGTCGAGTGCAAGGTGACGACCCCTGACAAGGCCGCCGGGTACTCGCCGGGGTAGCTAGGGTAGTTATGGGGCCTTCCACCTTTTTCTAACAGTGCTTA